AAATAATAAAAAATTTGTTAAAAATAAATAAATAAATACTATAATGCAGAGAGAAACCACATTGTATTATTTCTGAAAAAATAATAAAAAATTTGTTTAAAAATAAATAAATAAATACCATAATGCGAAGAGAAAAGTCCATTTATATCTAAATACTGATTATTCAGAACCAAAATGTGGAAATTAGCTGCTTTTTGTATGCAAATGTTCCACATTATTTGATGCATCTAAAAGAGAAATGATGACACATAAATGAAGGGTCCTACAATCGTGTTCAAATTGAAATGTATTATAAGAAAAAATAATCATGTGGAGATTATATCTTTCACAACTAAGTCTGCTTAGTGAGATGTATTCATTAGATAAATGACAAGATGATAAAAGCACATTTCCAAAATTCTTTTAGGAGGCCAGACTACAGAAAGAACATTTAATTAGGACATCAGTGGTTTAAGTTATTTTAGCAAATGCATTTATGTAAATGTAAAACTCTAATGTGTGTTCAGTGTGAAAAATCCACTTATTGAACAGAGAATTAAATAAAAGTCCAAAAATATAAGCGCAATGTGTCAGTACAGTGTAACCTTCAACAATTTCCTGGTCACCAATATTCAATTAGACAACAATTTCTGATTGTTTACAAGACACAAAAGAACAATTAACACAAGTAGATAGTGAAATAGATTAATAAACAATGAGGAAAAAAATTGTATTAAGTTCTTCTTGTCTTCGTCTGTGTTATTAATGCCTTTTGTTTTCTTTGGGAAACATGTCAACAAGGTAAAACATTCTTGTGGATTATTATTGTCTTACCCAAAGAAAAAACAAAAAGCATGACTAATGAGGAAAAAAGATTAAAAGCAAAATAAACTGAGTTTCTGGGGTATCTTTACATGCACCTTTTCCTGTTAAAAAGAGGAGAGGATAAAGAGAAAAAGGGGTTTAGCTCATAAACAGCTTCATCAGTGTGGATAAATGAGAGCGTGTTCATCAGACTAAGTGCAGGTTTTTGTCCAAATGGGGCCTCCAACCGTTTCCAAATGCTTCACTAAGACTCGTTACCAAGACAAATCATGGCTGCTTTATTTGTATCTGCACAAGTATTTATTATACGCCTACTCCTATTTCTGCTGCGTTATTGTGAACAGGGAATTCCTACGCCAGCACAAAACGCTCCAAATACAGGACTGTCTCAGAAAATTACAATATTGTGATAAAGTTCTTTATTTTCTGTAATGCAATTAAAAATCATGAAATGTCCTACATTCTGGATTCATTACAAATCAACAGAAATATCACAAGCCTTTT